CATTTTAAAATCCGCAAGATGCCGTCCAACTAGAAGTGATACTAAATAAAGGAATATTATTGAATTCTTTTGTCACTGATGCACAGAAACAAGACAAGAAATAAAGTTGGTCCCATAAACCCTCAACATCTCCCATTTGTCTTCAAAGATTCGCGTGTTTCTCTCCATCCATAGAACCCAAATTGTTACAAAAGGAGTACAATGCCAAAGAGTCTTCCCTCTTACACTTCCTCCCAAACCCATAAAAGTCCAAACAAGTCATAGATACTGTCCTTTCCCTCGTGTCATCTGCAAACTGCAAATGAGACACCGAAATACTCTCCTTTCCTATGGCAAAACCGTTAACCAAATTCGATCTTTCAGCCCTCTCCATTAACCTACTCAACTCATTCACCACCAAAGTGAACAAATATGGCGACAAGGGATCCCCGGTCTAAACCCTCTTGAAGCTTTAAACTTACCCCTAAGTTTTTCATTTAACATAACAGAAAAATTAATTGATCCCAAGCATCACAAAATCCATCTATTCTCAAAACCTTTCACTGTCATCACAAAATCTAAATAAGACCAATCCACATGGTCAAATGCCTTTACAAAATCAATTTTTAAGACAATGTCTTCCCTCCAATTCTGTAATCTTCAACCGACTCATTAGCTATAAGAGCCATATCCATAATTTGTCGTCCTTTCACAAAAACTCCATGACACATTGAAATAGTAACATCCAAACACTCTGGACTTTAGCTATAATCATATATAAACTCGTAATAAGACTAATAGGTCTAAAATCTTTCGGTTTCAAAGAATTGACTTTTTTTTTGTACCAGATAAATAAATGAAACATTTATACCTGCATTAACAACACCATTATGAAAAAAATCCTCCAAAACCATCATTAAATTATCCCTCATATACTCCCAACACTCTTGAAAAATAGCCATTATGAATCCATCAAATCCCAGGACTTTATCCCTAGAACGCTTAAAAACTACTTTTTTAATCTCCTCAATCTCAAAAGGTCTCTCCAACCATTCTAATAGTGCACCATAAATAGGACACCACTTCAACCCCTCTAAAATAGGTCTACACTCATTATGGCTAGAATAAAGATTAGCAAAGAAGTCAACAATCTCCATCTCAATCAAACCATTATCCTTCTATAGCTTATCAATATTTTCCTCTTTGATTTTCCATTTCCCACTCTATGAAATTTTTTTGAATTATCACCTTCCTTAATTCACTTGACTCTTGATTTTTGTCTCAAACTTATTTCTTCCTTGAATACCACCTCCTTAAGTCTATTCCTAAGCTCCCTCCTCTCCCTTATCACCTCATCATCAATGCTCCAGTCAACTTCCTTCTTGTCAATATCATCAATCTTATCCAAAATTACCCTTTTCATTTCATAAAACATCTCCAAATTGTTCTTTATTCCACACTTTCAAGTTTTATGTCACAAACTAAAGTTTTTTCATGAACTTATATCCCTTAAAATCTTGCACATCACACTCCGACCATCATTCTCTAATCTTGTCTCTAAATCCTCTATAGGGGTGCAAACCCTAACTCAACTCTAAGTATAAAATCTTCAACTCTAACCCTACCTCAACCCGAGTATTGCCCGAGTTGATTTCGAACAAACTCAGGTAGAAATCGAGTTACCCAATGCAGGCCTAATTCGGGTTAGTAATTCGTGCTCAACAAACAATAATTCTAAATTAAGTATGAGCCTCTACATAATATTGGATTATTACATAGGCCTACATAGCCCACTAAGATTAAGCCTATCAAGGGTGAGCCTTCTTTATATATAGGGGAGTTCTTTATATTGGGGAGAGAGGAGATATCATTTGAGTTGTCTATCCAACGTGGGATGACAACTCATTGTCTTTCTTTTTCTTTTTTTACTTACTATCCACATTAGTTGTGTAAACTTCTTTCATCATCTATAGTCCTTATAAATCACATTTCACTCCCCCTTTAAATAATAATAATTACAAAATATGTACTTATATTTTATTTTTATATTGTTTATATAAATATAATACACAAATTCGAGTTAGGTTCGGGTTGAGCCCGATTTCATCAATTCGGATTGATTTTAGGTTAAACCTATGAACCCCGGCTCTTAACTCGAGCCTTACCCAAATTCAATTCAGGTTAAAGCTTTTCAACCGTAACCCTAACCTCAACCCTAACACTGTTTTTTTTTAGTTAGCCCACTCAAGTTGCACTCTTAATCCTCTATGCTTCACCCATATATTCTCAAATCTATATGGACACAGTCCCCATCAAAATTTAGAATCTCCTAGAACAATAAGACAATGGTCTGACGTTACCCTAGTTAAAGCCTCCTACCTTATCTAGGAAAAGAATTCTCCCACCCAGTAAAAATCTATCCAACCTTTTACAAATTGAGTCTCTTCTAAGATTAGACCATGTAAACATACCATTAGCTAAATGAGGGTCCCTAAGCTTGGTTTCCCTAATGAACCTATCAAAATTCCTCATACTCTTGGTCAATCTACTCCCATTCAATTTTTCCATAGGGTACCCATTTGATTAACCCATTTAAACATTATTTTATGTTGTTTTCGCCTTCAAACACACGCAAGGAGAATAGATCTTGAGAATCCTCTAGTAAATAGCGTATAGATTTCCTAACATGTAAAACAACCTTAAGGGATCTTCCATTGGATGTCTCCAACCATTACAACACCAACAAGACAGCAAAAACTGTTGGGGTTGCCTTTAGGAGATGGAAAGAGTAGGAAAATTAGATGCAGCCCAGACCAACCCCCATCCCATACAAATGATGACAGCAAATGGAGAAGTCATCTAATAGGTATTTGTATGATATGGTATCTTGATTTTCTTTTCACTTTTTGAACAGCATCCATGACACTTTAGCCCTTCTTAAGATTAATGAGAATCACCTGGTTTTAGGCCAATAGAGATAACCAAGAACCATAAGACCTTTTCTTTGGAAGGTTATAATCATATGTTACTTTTTCAACAAATGAACAGGTAGCTTCGAGAAGATATAATTTAATAAAGATATTAGCGTGCTCATATATGAACTCCCATAGAGAACATACTTCAGTTCCATCCTATTTGTACACAAAACAGAAAAACAGTAACCCCTAGAAAATACAGTGGCCATCATGAATGGTTGAAGTTTACTTCTCCAGATAGATGTGCAATGGATATTGGTCATCTAAATGTATTCTTTCACTACCAACCTTTTCAAACTCCTGTCGAAATAAAATAGGCAAAATGATGTGATTTGAAGTCTTAAAGGGCAAAACTTGATAGTCCTCCTAATCCAGTTGTACAGGTACAGACCACCAATGACATCTACTAGATCATTCCGTTTACAAAGTTAAGCTCTCCCACTCAATCCCTGCACCATCCTTTTCTTGTTGTGAATTATAAATCATCCTAGGTGATTTATCATCTCAGTATCTTATGTGCTAAAGCAACTCCCACGTTCTCCAATGCAGACTGAAATAACATCAGTATGCAACAGAATCAAAAGGACGTCTACAACAAAATAATATGCACACACATAGAAGCATTAACACCTAAGCCTATGGACAGCAGCTTGCAAATGCTTACTGGATCATCTACTTTGCTCACCCCCCAACCTGTTGCCAAAATATAGGACTGGAGAGAAATTTTAAAAAGAAAATTGCCGAAAAATCTTATGAAGAAAAGGTTTCAAAACATAAAGCTTGATATTAGAAGTTCCCACTCATAAAGTTGAAACTTTAAGGATCCTGTTCAAGATCCTGACATTGTCAAAGCCCGCACTTTTAAATATCAGCAATATAATATAAAGCAACGCAACCCGATGTTAATGGTCACATCTGTATCTTAATGCTTGTATTAAACGAACATAGCAAAAAATTAACGTCCAAGATTAATATGGGTAAACTTCAAAGATAAAACTAGAACACCCAATATTTTTAAATTTATTGGGGAGGAAAGGCTTCAATACTACTTCAATTTTGAAACTTTTAGCTGCTCAGCCAGAGAAATGATGCAAAATAAATGTGGATCAAGGGACTAAATCTACAACTGAAATAACCCACGGAGGAAAAACTTCAAATCTCCCCCCCCCCCCAAAAAAAAAAGGGGGTTACTTTATCTTTCTTCTATAAGGTAGCAATCAAACGGATAACTTTATTTTATAGACAGTTGTATAGATGCTAGTGCTACAGTGCAAGTTCGCCTCTAAAATGAATTATATATCTTGAGATATGATAGCAAATAACATTCCTTTAACAAGCCTATCATCATTGGTTAGGGTATATATATAATCAATTTTGAGAAAATCATAACATTGTCATGGACAAAAGGAGTCCCTCACAGAAAGCCTCTGCCATATAATCGAGTTTTAATACCCCCCCCCCTCTTACCTCTCTAAAAAAAGGTGTAGGGTTTCTTAGGACCTCCTACATAACTTATTATGCCATACTTCATCAGTGCATAGATCACAAAAAAAACAAAATTTTTGCTTCAACATAATTTTTACTCATCATGAGAAACTTGAGAACATCACTATATCTCTTTGTTCTTTAACATTTTTTTTTTTGCTTTCACTGTTCTTTCTCTTAGATTCATTTCTTCTCTATGAATTTCTCCTTGTCCGTGGTCTTTGTCCAGTTATGTCATTTTTTGCGTATTGAACTGCCTTGCATTCTGACCCATAAAAAACTGCCTCGCATCAAGTAATCAAGACCGAATCCCAAATATAAAAGCAACAAAGCTGCACACATAAATGTTTCACAAATGAGTAGAAGTATACGGCATGTAAAACTGTGAAAGATAATGCATATGATCTCACAAACCAAAAATTGGACTATACTTACTGCTTGCTGAGTTACTAATTCCACGAGCTGGAACTCTTTAATCAACGTGGAAGCATAATGGCGGAAGGAACTCAAGCAACTGCTAGGTCCACAAAGCCAAATGCACCAAAAAAGCAACCCTTTCGATCAAGCAGCCACTGGGACATCCACATTTGCCCTAAATGGAATAGTTCTACTTAAGGATGACATGCCCCAATTCAAGTCCTCCGATGTAGTTTGCTTTATCCTAAAGGCTTCATTAGGCATCCCAGCCTTCAAAAGGCAAGATATCAAACAATTTACAGTAATGTTATCTGGGGCACAACCAACCGACAACATCTTATTAAAGATGCTTATTGCATCAAACATTCTTCCTTTCATACAGTGCCCCAAAATGAGAATTGTGAATGTCAGTTTATCAGGACTGCACCTTTTCTCCTCCATCTCTGTAACAATCACATTTGCCTCATCTACATTACCAGACTTACAAAAGCCATCAATCACAGGGTTGTAGATAAATGGATGTGGGACAATATCCGTCCTCCATCTTAACAGCCTCAAGAGATCACGAGCCTCATTTAGTCTGTTCTCCTTGCACAAAGCATTAATAAGAACGGAGAAAGTATATGCATTAGGAGATAAGTTTCTTGCGTTTATTTCACCCCAAAGCTTCAAACCCTGGTCCACCTGCCCAGTCCGACAATAACCATCGATTAGAGACGTGAATGTAATAACATCAGGGCAACAACCAGTCGTAAGCAGCCTCTCGTATATATTCAAAGCTGAGACTATGTCGCTAGTCTTACCAAACCCATCAATAAGAATGTTAAAAGTAACCAAACTGGGCTTTATTCCGAAACTAAACATATCATCAAAAAGATTCAAAGCCTCCTCCATCTTACCCAACTTGCAGTACCCCGATATTACAGATGTATAAGTCACAACATCCGGTGAAAGCCCAAATTGTGACTTGACTTCTCTCAAAAACGCATGCCCCCTATCCACATTTCCAATTCTGCACAATCCATTAGTTAGAGTATTGCATGTAACAAGATCAGGCATACAACCAAATCTCCTCATATCATCCAAAAACTTAAAAGCCTTATTAACGTCTCCTACCCTGCACAGACCTCGAATAACAATGTTAAAACTCCAAGTATCAGGACAAAAACTCCTTAATCTCAAAATATGGTCTCGAAAAAATCCAACAGCCTCCTCTACCCGGTTTTGCTTCACCAACAAATTCAACAAATCATTGTACACGTAAGAACTTATTATCCCCACTTCGCCATTGCTAACCTCGGCTTGATCGATCAATAATTCTTTTGCAATATCAAACTTGCCTACATTGGCAAAGGACGATACCAAAAACCCTAAAATTGACATTTCAGGTAAATATCCATCAATTTTCACGTAACCATATACTAATTTAGCGGCATCGTGAAGTCTCATTTGACAGAGTGACCTCAAAAGCACATTATAAGTCCCAAAAGAATGAACGAGATTCAAATTTTCTCTAGTCACTTGAAAGAATTTGAAAGCTAAGGTGGGGTTATTGAAGAAAGAGTTTATGTGTTTGATAACGTCAAAAGCAATCAAAGGGTCTAAGTTATTACGAAAATAGTCAGAGTTGAAAATACTGAGAGATGAAGAGTGACGAAAACAGAGAGTATATATGACCTTGGTGAACCAAATGGACTCGGCAGTTTGAGGAGGAGGAAGGGGGTGATCATCTATGTGGGTTTGACAATGGAAATGAGCAGTTGAAGCAATCTTGGACACCCTTTGGGCCTTACAGAAGATGAAGGAATCGAACAATCGGAATGCTTGGAAATAGTTTATCGCCAAATGGTTGGGACTCCACAAGGGCATTATATCGAACAGGTGGACTGCGTTTTTTTTTTTCGATACACTGACGAGCTTGGATTGGCTATACCATTTCGAATGGGTAATGAATATGGTTTGACGTGTTAACGATCACAAACATACGGAACAAGTCGACGGACAGGCTTGGCCGGTGTTGTTCCGGCGAAAGATGTAGGTATGTGAGGGTGTTTTAGGGTTGCGTTCCGCCGAAATAGCCCCCGCAACCTCAGCTGCCTGAGAGAAAGGGCAAACATGGATCAAGCTCCTATGATAGCTAAATAGAAAATAATTACATAGATTTATAATATTTTTACACCTAGTTTTTTTTTTTTTTTTTTTCAGATTTTCACTTTGGCCATTGATGTATTTTTTTATAAACAACACGCAATTAGAAGATCTGCTTCTTCCTTAAGTTTCCGTTTATAAAACTAGTGAATCCGTTATAACATAATTAATAAATAAATTGAGTATAATTGTAATAAATTTTAATGAATATATAATACGACTCGTTTATATATCAGTTATATACGATTTATACACAACAATATGACACGATTCATTAAACACGAATTTATATCTATAATATAAAATAGAGCAGATTTCAATAAGTTTATTCGACGGTCTTAAATAGACACGTCCAACGGTCATCAACATCTCTCTCAAAACTATTCACATTTAATTTTTTTTCTTCGTAAATCTATTACTTCTCACATACGTTATACCATATTTTTAGCCACATATTACCTCTAGTTAATAAACAAATCAAATATGAGGGAAAATTTTTTTATACGAACTCACTAAGACCTGACGCAAACGAATTATTGATAGACCTAATTTTTTTTTATGGGGGTAATGTTATGCTAATTACAAAATATGATAAAATTGATGTGGCAACTAATATAGGAAGCAAAACTTGAATTTTAAATAAACAGAAGTGTAAATAAAAGTATCATTATTACAATGCTATATCATTTGATCATTTTTTTTTTTTAATCAATGTTATATTATTCTTTTTTATCAACTCGTTTTCCAGTAATTTAATGAGGGATAAAGCCTAAAGCTAATTATTACATGTGATACTAATATGAGATTACCGTCAAAAAATTGAATTTTCAACTTATAATGGTTAATATTAATCAAATCTTTATCTACTTTGATTCAATTATACAAAATTCATCCTAAAATTTTGTTATCGATCCAAAAACATCAACTTCCCTTTACAACCCCCAATGTCAACGTCAATCCACACTCTCCTCTTTCTTTATTTTAATTTTAAATTGTGTAATTAAAATATTATTTAAAATAAAAATATTAGTGGCTTCATACACAGGGTTATTGCTATTCGATTTAATATTACGACAAAAAGTTGAATTATCAACTTATAAAAGTACAACAACGGTCAAGATTGATTCAATTTTTATTTATTTTGATCTAATGATACAAAAATTTATTCTTAATTTTTTTCTCAACTCAAAAATATCAACTCAACCAACATCTATATAATATCTATATAATAAAATACATAACAATTTAAATTTTTATTCCTTATATATTTTTCCTCTAAAAACATCACATCATTAATTTCTATCACATGTTTAATTATTTATATATTTCTCCTCTGAATACATCACATCGCTTATTTCTATTATATATTTAATTATTTAATATTTGATTAATTTGTAGTTAATAAAATACATAACAACTTGAATTTTTATCTCTTACATATTTCCCTCCTAAAAATATCACATCATTCATTTTTATCATATGTTTAATCATTTATATATTTTTTCTCTAAATACATCACATCGCTTATTTCTATCGTGTGTTTAGTCATTTAATATTTGATTAATTTATAATTAATATAATTTGTATTTCAAACATTATTCATATACATTAGTATATACGCGTTGAAAAAATTTATTATAGTGGGATCAATTTTTTTAACGGTTGAATTTTATATTTTATCGTACCTATAAGTACAGGTTATGACCAGTACTCTTCAACGACAGATAATCCTACTAATCCAGACCTATCTCTATTTTTAGCCTCCTCTATCTCTCTTATTGGTTTTCGTATTCACTTTAACTATAAATAACATAATTAAAAAATATATATTATTATTTAAAATATAAATATTATACAATTAATATTTTTTTTGTGTTATATAATGACTTTGGACATTATTGCTAGTAAATATATTGTATTCACAATTAGACATAAAAGGTGATTGTTTAAATCTAAAGAACTTTTTATATGAAGCATATAGGGACTAATTCTGTCATTAATTGGTTTATGTGGACTTAACAAGTTGGTGACATCAATAAATTGAAATAAAGAGATTTACAGATAATACACCCCCCCTCCCCAAAAAAAAAAGTTGCTTGGATGATTTTTAAGATAGAAATTGAATTGGATATATGAAACCCTTCGAAATTCAATTTATAGATTTTGTTAATGGGATTGAACAATGTACCATATTCAATCTCATATCCGAGAAGTGATACAAATACTCGTGAAAAATGAACGGATTAATTGTAACATTTGCTATGAAATTATATAAACCCTGATGATGCACAAAAATGGTTTTGCACACCACCTGTCAAGTATAGATAATAAATGCAATGAAATCAACGAAAGAATTAAAAAAGACACAATTTATAGTGGTTCGGTCAATTCGACCTACGTCCACTCTTCAATGGCTTCAGTCGCTGGGTATTTTATTGATTCAAGGGTATGGAGAATGGAGATACAAGCTTTGAGAGGGAGAATGGAGAATCAAAGAAAATAGTAATCTCCGGTAGTCGGTTCGTCTTCTGTAAGTCTCTGATGGAGCATGTGTGTCCCCCTCCTCTCCCAGATTAGAGCCATTTTATAGTAGCTAAGAGATAATTCTTGTGGAGATCATGACATATCCTCAAGGCTTCTTTATCGCAGCTTAGAGATTATCTTTGGTGGAGATCGCGACTTATCCTCCACGGAAGGAAGAGGTTGGGGGAGCTCTTCATGAAACGTGATCAATGATTGGACTGTTTTCTTCCTTCGGTGGTTGCAGATAAACTTCCCGTGCTCTCCTCTTGGTGACGTGCTAAGCAAGAAGTCTAGCCGGCCTTGGGCTCCTTAAGGCGGTGCAGATAAACTTCCCGTGCTCTCCTCTTGGTGACGTGCTAAGCAAGAAGTCTAGCCAGCCTTGGGCTCCTTAAGGCGGTGCAGATAAACTTCCCGTGCTCTCCTCTTGGTGACGTGCTAAGCAAGAAGTCTAACCGGCCTTGGGCTCCTTTGGCTTGGTGGATTCACGATGAGGTTGGGCTCCTCAACCGGGGTTGGGCTTTAATACATAAATTGGACTACTTGGGCTCAACCCATCATTTGCCCCCCAATGCCCCATGTCCAAGGAGACTTGGAGAAGGAGGCATTGATTACATTTTTTTTTTTTTTTTTTTTAAAGTTTCTTCCCTTTTATTTTAAAAAAGGCCCATAATATTTTGTTTGGCCTTTTTGTTTTAAAAATGGCTTATAACTTTCTTTTTGGCCACTTTGTTTTGAAGAGGGCCCATAATTTTCTATTTGCCTACTTTATTTTGAAGAGGGCCCATATTAGTCTATTTGGGCTTTTTTCCTCTTTTTAAAAAACCCTAGACTATAAATATAGTCTTCTTTTTCAAATTACCACTTCACTTATTTTTAAGGTTGAGCACCCACCTCTTGAAAATTTTGAGAACTCAAGTCCTACCCATTTTGTTGAAGCCAAAGTGTGTGTTCTCCTTGAATCCTTTCAAGAGTGTGATTTTTTCCTTGCTAGTTGAGCTTCTCAAGTGAACAATGTCGATTGAAGAGGGATTGGTGGAGGTTGAAGAAAGCTGTGGATCTGAAATTGGAAAGCTGGACAGCGAATGGGAGATGGGCGGCGCGAGGAATGGCTTGGGCTGCGTAGGGAGACGGCTGGACAGCAGCGAAGGCGGGCTGGGCAGCGCAGGCGCGCGGCTGCGCAGCGCAGGCGCGCAGCTGGGTAGCACGCGCGCGCGCTGGGGGCCTGGACAACGGCTCTGCGCGCGCTGGGGGCCTGGACAGCGGCTCTGCGCGCGCTGGGGGCCTGGACAGCGGCTCTGCGCGCGCTGGGGGCCTGGACAGCGGCTCTGCGCGCACTGGGGGCCTGGGCAGTGCAGGCGCGCTGGAAGGGGAGATGGGCAGCGCAGGCGCGCAGCTGGGCAGCGCGCGCGCGCGCGCTGGGGGCCTGGGCAGCTGCCTAGTCGCTGCTCCTCCTGTCCTGGACAGCCCAGGCGTGCTGGGCAGCTGCCTGGGCGCTGGCCTTGCTGTCCTGGACAGCCCAGGTGCGCTGGGCAGCAGCCTAGCTGCTGCTTCTGCTGTCCCGGACAGCTTCAGATCTGCTGCGCTGGGCGGCTTTGGAACGCTGGGCAGCAGCATTTTTCCATCGAGGGGTGCTGAAAATCAGTCCAAGGTTTGTCAGGGAGAGCTAGGCAGTGGCCTGGGAGCACGGGCTGATCCGATTCTCATTCGAGGTGCTGATTTGGGCGCCTTAGGTGCTGATTTTTGCGCCGAAAATTCTGCTTTGTGTAATATTGAAAGGCCAAGCACCCTTCAAGCTACTGGGCAACTTTGTTTGGATGAGCAACAGCAGTCAGACACACTTTCAGGCGTTGGGCTAGAAATTGCAAGCAGTAGGGAAGCTTTGGATGCTGCCATTGATGATCAAGCCCTTGTTGTAGTTTCCCCGATTCAAGTTCTTCAAGACTCTCCCAATGGTGATTTGGACTACTCCTTAAGGCCCCGGAAGAGGAAACGTAACAGCAAAGTGGGACCCGATGATGAACGGGTCTAAGGTGAGCACCCTTCGTAGTTTGTTCTGTTCAGATGAAGATATTTCTAAGCTTGTTTTTACTTATCGCATCCCTCCGACCGTGTTGTGCCGTCGGGCTGAGTTGGGCGAGTTTGCTTGCGATGACTCTTCCGGGGATATTGTCGTTTACGAGGAGATGCTTGAGGCTGGG